ATTAATGAGATGGTCGCAGGTAAGTTAAGGTCCTTAATCATCATTATTTTTTAAAATCTTGGTAAAATATTGACAGGAAATATATAATATTTTATCAAGATAAACACGACTTGCCAGATTTTCCGCGACAAGCTTGGAATGAATTCACGTATGATGAACTTTTGAATGAAATTGGAGTGGGTAAGTACAAATAAGAAAACACAAATATATATTAAGTTTTCTATTCTAACACATCAAATTTGACAATTTTTTTCTTTTTTATTTAAAAGGTGGAACAGCTGCAATTGATATTGTTTTATTAGCTTTGATAACTTTGGATAGAATTGTATCAAGATGCAGCGATCCTGATCTATTGAAAAAAAGATATCGAATTCTTTAGTTCATTTCAATAAATCCGTTTTAAAATTTTTTTTTTATTAAGATAATTTAATGTGGTGGCGGAAAAAAAAAAATTATGGGTCAGTCCCATTGTATAGAGTAAATTGTCGATTACACAAATCACATCAATTAATAATTTTTTCTTTAAAAAAAAAAAAAAAAATAAATCATACCCTCTACGTACATTTCCTTGCACCATTGGGAAAGCTTCTTTTAATTTATCTGTTATTTGAGTTATAGTTTTACGTTCTCGTCGTCTAAAACTTGTAATCAATATATTAATGATGTTTTTAACACACTAAAACTTTGGTCATTGGTATTGGAAATTAAGCATTCTTTGGAACTCCTTTTCAGCGATTCGTTCTAATAGCACCAGATAAACCTCCACGAGGGTAATTTAAGTAAACGAGCAATTTATCATAAGCTTATCTCCAAATTGTGTACATTATTATTAACATTGTCAATATAAGAGTGTGTCCACCGGAAATTAAAGTTGGAAGGCTGATGCATGAATTATTTCTCTTTTATGAATTAAAAATTACCTGAATATCTTGTAACTGCGACAATATCCATGCTTTATACAAACAATTAATGTTCTTCATTGGATGATAATTTTTGACCATCAATATCTAATATATTATCGTCATAAGTATAAAGTATGCAAATAAAGAGATCATTGATAATAAAATTTTGAAATTATAAGGTTGTACCACAAGGTTGATCTTTATAATTTAACATTAGCTGAACTTTAGTACTTCCCAATTGGAAATGCTATCTAACTTTGTATGTCTGGAGGAGTTCTAGTTTTTCTGACGCTAATTTGTGGGGAAAATAAAAATTAAAAAATCGAAACAATGTTTTGTTTAACTAAAAAAAAAAATTTTTTTGTTTATATTTGTTTTATTTTAATAAACTTATTTGCAAATCGGGTTTAATTAATAATCAAGAATTCACGAAAATCATTTAATCTGGATTCCGCGGAGAAAATTTGCATTTAATAAATCCTGTGTACGACACATTCTTTTTTTTTTTTGTCAGTTTCATAATTTTCGTAACCTCTTGGCTAAATTCTCGGATGAAGCCTCGGAGGATTATCAAGAATTTCTTTTATATCTTAAAACCGTAAGTGGGAAAGACCGCGGTATTTAGATTTTCATCCATTCCATTTATACTTTACATTTATTGTTTACTAGTGGCTTGCACAAAATTCCTTTTGAAAAAAGATTATCTTTTTAAGATTCGTAAATCGCACATGTAAAAACTTTTGGCGCAACATTAAAATAGAAAGTAACGGAAATAATAAGCTTTATCTAAAGACATACCTGTGTTCTGAATACAAAAGTAAAGAAAAAACTTCTGTTTTGAATTATTTCACATGATTTCATTTCCAAACACAGTTTAAATATTAAATTTTCAATTGTCCGGTAAATACCGAAGATGAGTAATACCAAGAAAAATGATGAATTGATCTGATCATTCAATCGGTATAAATTGGTAAATTGAAAAAAAGAGACGGACGAAATATTTTCAAAAATTCAAAAATTCAGAATAAATAAAATATAAATATTGATGATTACGAACTGTACGAACTGTAATAATAATAATAATGATCGACATTAATGATTATGAAAGACGGACGGAAAATTAGAAATTTTTCCGCTCAAAAATTCTATATTCTCAAATCAGAAATTGTGCATCTAGTATGATAAATAATAGTCCCCCATTTATGACATTCTTAAATCAAAACGGGTATCCCAAGTATGATGATTCCAAAGCGAAAAGAACCTTGCATTTGATAGTAGAATGTTAGATTATTAATTAGTAGGACAAAATTATATTCATTTTAAAGAAATGTTCAATTCGTTACAATTTTCCTTGTTGGAAAATTCCTGAAGTAAAAATATTGTAAATATTAGTACAAGTTAAATCTTTATGGGTTCATGTTTAAGAGGTATATCGTGTTGATGATTTATGCAAGAAGTTCACGCATAACATCATAGATTGATATTAATTTATTAATTTGCATAAATTGATCCATCTAATCTAATCTAAAGTGTACAAATAGTTCCCCGAAAAGATTCATTTTCACCTGCACCAAATGAATATTTCATATTGTACCTTTTAACACATCTTTTTTTAACCATCTTGTATCAACTTTTTCTTAACAGAATTGTGAAATAACATAGATATCAATTTCCTTTTCTGATTCTTTCCGTTCTTTGTTTTAATCCCCATAATAAATAATCTATACCGTTTACGAATTAGTCGACCCCAAAAATTTTAAAAAAAAAATTTTAACAGATTAAATGTTTTCGTTCTTTACTGCGGCTCGGTGAGAATTTTTATATGTGGGAACCTCCATTAAAAAGGCGGTTTTTTCGTGACCCTGAGAATTATGTTCCGCAGTCCGTATCAAAGGAACGGCGATCATTCCGCATCTTTCTGATTGTCTCAAAACATTCTCACGAATACTTGATAAAAATTAACAGGTTTTTTTTTTTTTTTTTTTTTTTTTTTTTTTATGGGGAACAAAAATATTAATGGGAAAGGTTTTAATTATATATTTATATATTTACCATAGGATGCCGCAGTAAGTAATTTAAAAATTTTCGAAACCTATATACTGTCATGCATAACCCTATTCATTCATTAGGAGTTCATTGACTCAAATGAATCCGAAATTCAACTCATTAGGAAATACCCAACCTAAACATTGACGCAAGACGAACAAAGGACATATTACTCTACGAAGATAAACAGAAAAACCAGAAAATGTAACCTGACAATCTCTTTTACTTTTATTTAAATTTAGAAATAATAAAATGAGTTGTCTCTTGCTTATCTTATATGACGAACAATTTTGTAATATTTGCGCCACTTGGGTAAAATCCATAACTTCTTTTAACGTTATAACATTTCCAAATAATGCAATTTAGAAACTCCTCGATGATCGTATTAATAAGGGCATAAAGAAAAAAAAAAAAGGCTTATCTGATCATCCGTCAAACATCTTTATTGACATCTTAAACCTGTTTGGACCAAATATGATGCAGATTAACCCTGTGGAGTTACTGTTTATCACTCAGTTTCCCGCTATTAATGAGTAGTTTAAAATATTATCTTGACACCACCTCATATAAGTACTTAAATTTTTTTACCATTTTCCCATTTCTCGAGGGTTTTTTTTCTTAACTTTTTTTAATTTTCTCTTTTTTTTTTTCCTTTTTTTCAATTTAAAAATTATCCCTTTTTACATGAGATAACATGGGATCAGAAGAAAGACCTCGTAATCAAGAGGAACTTCCTTTTATTAATAATGTTAATACCGTTGTTAGCCCTGCTTCACCTCGCGCAAGACATTCGGTTGGCTCAAATCGTTCTTTTACAAATGCGATGCATAACGCTTTACATTTTACTACTATTACAAAAAGTCCAAATTACGGATTCGGTCGTTCTTTTCTTAGCACGCAAAATAACTTTGAAAGTGGTATGCATTTTTTTTATCATTTTATTCTTTCAAAAAAAAATTTTGGATTTCTTTTTTTTTTTACAAAAAAAAAGTTTATTATTATTACTATGATGGTTGTTGGTTCATGGACAATGCTGCGATTGTAATGATCATCAAACAAATTACTTATTAATCAGATCGGGATATTTGGTGCATCATCAAGATCATCATTTGATAATTTTGATAATTTTGAATTTTGATCAAAATCATCTTTTGTTTGTACAATATTTCGGTGTTTTACCGAACCAGTTTGGCACCTATCAAACCAGTTTGGCACCCATTAATTATACCAATTTAAAAAATTTCTTAATTAAGATTATTCCATGATATAATAATTATGTATTTTCCCAACACAAAAATTAATTAGGTCATCCATCATATTCCGCTTCGCCATCAATAATTCGCAACCAAACGTTGGCCCTTGGAAACTTGAACTCTTTACCGGAATCTGATAAAAAAGAAGGATCACCACCAAAGGATCCGAATGTTGCCGGACAAAGTAATTTATCATTGCTCTTACAAAGAGAATCGAAAACTCCATCACCGCCAGAATTGGCAACAAAATCTTCCAATTCTCCACCATCGATTGCCGCAGCAATTGCTCAAATAGGACAAACTCAAAACAATAAAAACAATCATAATGTAGATAAAATACATTCAGAATCGGACGGAAATTTTGAAACAATTGAAAACATTCAAGATGAATCACGACCTTTACTTCATCATCAGTTTGGAATACCTAGCAATTATGGAATTGAAGGAGGAATTGGTGATGATGTTATTTCAATTGAAGATGATCCCTGGGCGGAAAAGTCTTGGATAGGAACTTGGTTACCCTGCGTTGGTGATGATTATCTTCCAAATTATGAGGGAGAAGAGCGTCCACAGCAGAAATTTCAATTTAATGCAGAAACGATTTTCAGAGAAGTTATTTTGAATCCGATATCATATATCCCGGCCGTCATTCTTGGACTTTTATTGAATTTGCTAGATGCTATCTCTTACGGTATGAAGAATTCACGTAAAGATTAGAAAATGATAAGATGGTTGTATTAATTTTTGAATTTTCTAAATTTCTTGAAATAGGAATGATCACGTTTCCAATTAGCAACCCTATCTTTCGTGAATTTGGACCTGATGGTATTTCCATGTTCTTTGTAAGGTGAGAAAATTTTTTACGATTTTATTTTATTCATTTTTCGCATTATTGATTCCATTCTTTCTTTCCGCAGTTGTATCGTGTCTCAAGTGATTTATTCCGGTGGTTTTAGTATTTTTGGAGGTGGTAATGGTAGCATGATGATTGAAGGTAAAACTTTTTTTTTTCTATTTTGTGAATAACATACTTATTAATCTGCGTACTACAATAATTTTTTTTTTTTTTTTTTTTTTTTTTTGAAACGTAGTTGTGCCATTCTTACATATTATGTGAGTAAAATAATTAGGCTGCGAGATGTTTTTCTTAAAAAATTAATTCACTGATGGAAATTTTTTAGGGCTGAAATTATTATCCGAGAAGCAAATGATCCTAGTGAAATAATCCCTACAACTATTTTGTCATTTGCTTTAAGTTCCGTTTTGACGGGCGTCGTTTTCTTATTAATGGGAGCATTCAAGGTAAAAAAAAAAAAAATTATTTACGTGATTAACGAACAATATGGGGTTAAAATCATTCTTAAAACTTCTAATAACAACAACAATAATAATAGCTTGGCTCCTTGATTGAGTTTTTCCCTCGACATATCCTTGTTGGTTGCATTGGTTTGTAATGAAATTTCTTAAATATCCAGTTGATTATATCACGGGAAAACAAAATTTTTATATATCTATCTCGTTTCAGGTGGAGTTGGATGGTTTCTTATTGCAACTGCAATTGAAGTTTCGGCTCATCTTGATGAAAATTTACTTAGATTGTTCGATGATTTTCACACGTTTGCCTTATGGGGATCTGCACTTGGCTTGGCGCTACTTTTGAGAATCATTCATACAAAATGCCAACATGCTCTTGTCGTTCCATTCTATTTCATGATTGTACCACTCTTTTTCTATCTCACAGTTTATTTGTTCGAATTAAAATGGGATGATTTAAGAAGCGATGGATGGGTGTTCCCTATGCCAGAAGGAGACGCTCCATGGTACCGTTTTTACAGCTATTACGGTAAATCAAAAAAAGGATATATTTATTTTGAATCGTGGTGTGGATCATTTAAAGCTTACCTGGTTGTATGATTTTTTTTAGATTTCAAAAAGACAAATTGGGGAGCCTTAATACAAACCGTTCCGGCAATGTTTGCGCTAACATTCTTCGGTATTTATCTTTTCCAATCACCATAAAAAAAAAAAATTTTCGAATTTTTATTTATCTTTTCTATTGTATTCCATATTTTAGGTATTTTGCACGTCCCAATCAACATACCCGCATTAGGAGTTTCGTTAAATGAAGATAATGTTAATACAAATCGGGAATTAGTGGCTCACGGTCTCTCGAACATGTTGTCGGGTTTTGTCGGAAGCGTTCAAAGTATGTCATTGGATTGGGAAATTTTTTTTTCAAAAAATTTAAGCATAGTGCCTCTTTAATTAATTTACTTTTATTGGGTATTTTACAAATAGACTACTTGGTTTACACCAATTCTGTCCTTTTCATCAAATCCGGTGGAGATAGTCGCGTAGCAGGATTGATGCTTGCTGCTGCAACTGCAATTGTACTTTTTATCGGACCATGGGTCGTCGGATATATTCCAGTAATGATAGTAGGCGCACTTATTTTTCATTTAGGACTCGAATTGATGAAAGAGGCCTTGATAGATACATGGGGAATTGTCAACCATCTCGAATACCTTACAATCGTGGCTATTGTAATTGCTATGGGTGTTCTTGGATTTATCGAGGGAATTTTCTTGGGTATTGTTATGGCTTGTATTTTCTTCGTGGTTTCAAATTCTCGAAAGAATGCGATTCGATCTACATTTTCTGGAAGTTCCATCAAATCCACCGTACGACGTCGATACCGACAACAGAAATTCTTGAAACAAGTTGGAAATCAAATTTATGTGATTAAATTACATGGTTATATGTTTTTTGGCACGATTAACGGCGTTGAAAATGCAATTCGACAAGTTTTAAATCATCGTCAATGGAAAAAAAATCCGATTCGATTTTTAATCGTTGACTTTTTCCTCGTTAATGGAATGGATTTCAGTGCAGCTGAGGCATTTATTCGAATTCAGAGACTCTTATCATTAAAAAATGTTTACCTTGTACTTTGTGGGGCCACATTTAACTCTGAAGTTGGAAAAGCTCTAAGATGTAATGGAATTTGGGGAGATACATCGAATGAATATTTACAAATATTTGAAAATTTCAATGAGGCCTTAGAATGGTGTGAAAATATGTTATTAAAAGCATATTATGGAAAAAGTATTGCTGCACCTTTAAAAGCAAATCAAATTGGTACCAATGAATTTTTAAAATCTTTTGTTTCGTTTGGCACACCATTTTTTATATAAAAAACCTAACTTTCATTTATAAAATAAATTTTACAGCCGGAGCTTTACCTCAACCTAAAAATTTAACGCCACCAAAAGATATTTATCAAATACACAGCCCACGTCAGCATCTTGTTGAAACTGTCGGTAACATTACATTGAAAGGTGTGTTTTGCGTTTATTTTCCAAAAATATTTTATGATCATGTACGCGCGATTTCGTAAAATTTAATCCCACCTTTTATTTTTTTTTAAAAAAAAATTTGAATATCCAGAAGAAAGACAAGCACGAAGCGTCAATAAACTTACAGCAGTTCTTATGGAAGCATTTGAAGAAATATCTCAAAAGGATGTTGAATTCTTTGATCGATTAGGACCGTATTTCCGAGAAATAAATGTACCATCAGGAGCGATTTTATGGCGCCAAGATTCTGTACCAGATTGTTTATATTTAGTAGAAAAAGGTATACTTAAAGCGACTTGGAGAGCGATGGAAAGTGATCAATCTAGACCGGTAGAAAGCATTTTGCCTGGTACAATGGCGGGAGAACTTGGATTTTTTACGGGTAGAAGTAGAGATGCCACCTTGGTAGCGGAAAACGATTGTGTTTTATGGCAGATGACAAAGTCGGACTATGAGAATTTGCTTCAAAAAGAACCTACAATAGCAAATGAATTCATGCGTATAGCTTTGAATTTTTCGGCTGAAAGATTAAGCACCATTACATATTATGCTTTTCATTTAATTTAGTTAATTATCATCTATATCTTTTCTTAGCATAGATTAACTAGACGGAACATCTTTTGTAATGCTTAAATGTCTCATATATTGATTGGAATGTTACTAGATTTATTTATTGAAGAAAAGGAACTTCTAAATTCACATACACACACAAAAAAAAAGGCAAAAAAAGACAATCTATAATTCAATACTTATATATATAATACTTTAAAAAAAAAAGGTATCTTCATTATGTTATTTTTTAAAAATTGCAAAACATTTAAAATAATAGATATAAACATTTTCAAAAGTTCTTACAAATAAAATTGTAAAATTTATTCATTCAAGCGAAACATAATTTTCGCTTTCTTATTCATGTAATGTAAACTTGATTTCTGCCTAATGACTTTTAAATCCTCTCATTGAACTATCTTGCTATCTTCTATCTAAAAAAAAAAAGAAAAAAAAAAAAATCTGATAACTGACGAAATGATAAAAAGGGATGAAGACCTACCCGTTCCTAGACGAGGATTCGATTATAAACTTTCCTACGAAACTGAAGTGAAATCTTGAGTTTTATACTGTGTCTCACTTTACCTTTATACTCTTTACATTTATGCAGTATTTCTACTTTACATTTTCTAATTCAAACATATTTCTTAAATATTTTTTATTAAAAAAAAAAATTTCACTGCAACTTTTTTATTTAAATAGCAACTTTAAGATAATTAAAGTTATTTAATTAAAATAATATTTAAATCTAGGTCTTAAATCCTAGAAACATATACTAAATTTAAATGATTTTTTATTTTACCTAATTATTAAAAAGATAAAAATTATTGTTTTAAAACCAATTAAGATTTTATCAACTTTAGAGTCATTAATAATTTGCATTTCTAGGATTATATAAAAGAATAATTCTAAGCTTTTATTTCATATTTTAAAACCTTTTAAACTTTAATGTCTTTAAATAGTATATATAGTAGATCAAGAATAATCATTATATTACAAAATCTGAATTAAATGTCAGTATTATACTATTTAAAGTACTTGAATAATAAAGGTTGTAATAGAATTTACTATAACACTAATTTCACATAATATAATAATAAAGATAACATTTTTAACCTTAAGATCAATATTATTATTATAAAATATGAATTGATTATTTTTTTATAATAAATTTTTATAGGTTTTTTTTTTTATAATAGCAAAGAAAATTATCAAAAAAAAAAAATTTCTTTTATTTTATATATAAAATTTGATTTTTTTTTTTTAGTTTAAATTTACATTAAATCAAAAAAAAAAATTTTTAATTTTCTTTTTTATTATTATAAAATATTTATATTGTACTAAAAAAGAAAAATTATAAAAAAAGATTTTAGTTAAATCTAATTTTTTTTTAGTAAAATAAATTCAGATTTAATATTATGAAATTAATATAATCAAATGATTTATGTGTAATAAATAAAAAGATTAATTTTATGATTATAAATAGAAAATTTTTAAGTTTACACAGGGTGTATATACTTGTATTACATGATAAATATTTGTCACTGTGTCACACTTTTCCATCTTTAATTTTATTATTTATTTAGAAACTTTAAATTTTTTTAGTGAAAAATTCTTATTCGTCATTTTCATTTGTCACAAAGTCATTACATAGATAATTTCTTAATTTCTTTATGTTAGTAAAAGTAATGTTAATGTTAGCTGTATCATATAACTTGTATACTATTATACCTAAAATTGATATGCAAAAATGTTTTTTTTTTTTATTAAGTGCGGCAGTCTTGCATGATCTTTATTATTATTTATGAATTTACAAGAAAAGCAAAATAAAACAAAAAATACAAAAATATCTATAAACTAATTTAGTGAACTAAACTACTTTATCAATACTAACTTTGCACTTTACTAAACTAAACTATACATCAGAAGAGAAAAAAAAACTAATCTAAATTAAAATACAGATATAGAGCGTTTGGAAGAAAGGGCGTGATTACTGCTGGACTAAAAATTTGACCAGTGAGTATCATAAGCAATTGTCACTGTGAAGAAAGCAGGATTATGTGAAGGTATTTGTGTAGAGCGAGAGAAACTTGAGGATACCCAAGCTGCAGTAAAATCATCTTTGATGTTGTTAGAGGTTTTCATATTTGTAATGATTCGCATCTTTCTAACCAAATCTTGTGGATTGAGCTGAATATGTTATCAAATAATGATGATATAAGACTAAGGGTGAGTTATTTGTTGTTTATGATGTGATTAATTAATGTAGTTAATAAAGAAGGAATGATCCCTTTTAATAAATCAATAATATATAGGTTGTTGTTATAGAGCTATAGTCTCATATTGGAGATTGTTCTACATACAAGATGTGAGTGTCATTGTTAGATTTATTAAGTTTTTTTAGTTGAGACATAAATGATTGTTTGTGCTTGAGGATGATGTTGATAAGAGGAATTATATTATCAAAACAAGTTCAGATGTAGTTAAAATCTTCAATTGCATTTACACAACAGAAACAGTTGTTAGAAATATAAGTTTTGAATACTGAGTGTTCATGATCATTAAGGTGGGAAGTAATTATAAGATCAATTTGAGTTTGAATTGCTTTTTTTTACATATATTGAATGATGTTACTCTAGCATTTTCTGAGTCATTGAGAACATAAAAGAGAGTTTGCCAATCAATAAGGTAGTTACTGTATTTAGTAAGTTAAGGAAGAGTTAAAAATGTTTTAGCCCAAGAGATTTGTTATAGGTGTTTAATAAATAAACAGGGCGGAGTAATAATTGGTAGGTTATTATAGCATATATAATATTTATAGTAGCAGTCATAAGTATCTGACCACTTCTAACTCTGGCTACAAGTAAGTAAATTCAAAATTTTTTTTTTTATTTAAAAAATACATAATCAACTAACTAAAATTAATACATTGTGTAGTCACCATCTGACTC